AATTTGTCAAATGATTCTCTGAATTCCACACACTACCTTGTGTGTCGTTCCCCTGCCCTCGACTTCCCCCACCAAAATGAAACAAAATTTTGAACCAAGAAAAAAAGACCTATTATCAAAAAATAAAAACATTCTTCTTCATGTTGGAAAGAATTTGTCTGTGAAACGAGCTTCGTAGTTGTTTCTATTCATGGAGCTCTACTATTTCTTCTCCCGTTCTCGAATCTCGATAGCAATCCATCATATAGGATACACGGGACCACGAATCGATTGCTGTATTATGATGGTAACAATTAGTGTCCTTGACTTAGCACTAAGCATCTTTTTCTAAGATTGAAAGAATGAGGTTCACTCCTAAATGGTGTATAAAACTTTGAGTAGTGGTCTTGGTGTCTCTACCTTATTCCCTAAAAGAAGTCTTTAATAGGACAGAAAATATGATCGATAAACCACTCCACATAAAAAATGTCTCTTATATTACGGTACAAGACTTAAGAAGGGAAATTCACAATGTTAAAGAACACATAAAAGTCATAAATACTAGACTTTTAGCTTTGACAAAACATGCCGACGCAATACCGAGGCAAATATTCCATTTTTTTGCTTCGGTATTATGCCAAAACAAAAAAATCCGTAACTGACATATGCTTTTTCTTGTAGTTGTTGTAACTTCACTTTAAAAATTGGTAACTTTGGTTTTGTAGTACCATATTAAAACTTTTATTCAATACAATAGAATTACCCCTTACCGCAGTATTGTTCTTCTCTGTAATGGGTAAGTAGTGTTTCATATTGCAGATGCTTGTTTATTAAACAGAAGGCAGTGGAAAATTACAATGAAAGTCACAACTCAGGTCCTGTCTTCTTGCTCATGAGAATCGAACGGGATGAATTTCACTATATAGGAACTGATATTAGATTACTGAATACATGCAAATAAAAACAACAAAACCTAAACAAAGAGGAACAAACAACTAATAACAATAATCTATAGGGAGACAAAATTGTTAATAATGTTTGGTTATAGCCATAGGTACTAAAAAGGAAAAATTGCTGCTGCTAGCAAAACTTCCCCAAGAGGAGATGGTTGAAAGTAATTATTAATCTGATCAGCACCTTGATACCATAGTAGGTTATTATCATCATCACCTTTGATTTCCTCCATCATCAAACGTGGCACCAGCGAGACACCACCACCAGTACCACCATTATCTTTAATTCCGGCATCGACTTGAGTTGTAGATGTTGCCTGTGCCTGAATGTCCAACTCCAATGGATCAAAGTAATACTCACTCGTTGTAACTTCTTCTGTGGTATTGGGCACCTTCAAGAACTCAACCCTATTTCTCACCGTCTCCAATTTGCACTCTATCACCTTCAATAAATCTCTCTGTCCCGAAAGCCTATCAAGCCAGTTGTCGTTATCGTCCTTCTTGGGAAAAATCTCCTGTCTCAAATATTGCTTTTTTCCAGGATGATCATGATCATATTCTTTGTAGTTGTGGATGAGAGCTTTCAAGTCTCTGGGATTCTCTGGCCAAGTCTCGACCTCCCCGTCTGGCCCAAAAACAACTGCACACGCTTTGATGTCGCACAGTACTGCAAGCTCCATTGTCTTCCTCAGGACACAGTCCTTTCTTTTCTTGAAGCTCAGTCTTTTAGCTCTATCGTTGCCCACTTTTCCCATTTTGATCTTCGTAGGCACCATCTGAGAGAGAGGGGATGTCCTGATTCAGAAACAGTTACTGTTGTTGCAAGTAAGAAATCTTTGGAGAGAGAGTGAGTGTAATTACTAATTACCTTATTAATGAGACATTTAGTGATGGAATCTCATGTGCTTTTTATAAGTTTCCTTTTTTCACACTGTTACCTTTTTCTGTATGTCTCCCCGAAAGGGTAGGTTAATGTTCGGTGTTACTTATATTTTAGTTAAATTACACTTCAACCCTTCAACTGTGGCCAAGATATCACCTCACCTCTTGAATTATTGTATTTTTTTTTATAGAATTAGTTGCACATTATAATAATATAGTTCAAGCAGAAAAATGAGATAATTGGCTTAAGTGAACGGGGTGTTATCCATGGGACAATGTGAAAGTATTGGCTTAAGTGAAACTGTAATGTAAAAAATATAATAATTAAAAGTAAAAGGGCACTACGAAATGAGAACTATCTTTAAGGGGTTCAAGTAAAATTTCTGAATGTAATATATCTACGGTTAATTGTCATTATGATTTAGGGAATCAAAATAAAATCTGAAAGCGACGTCGTATTCTGCTTTCCTTCTGTTACGGAAGCCAATGTGTATGGTCTATGCTACCCTCACTCGATGCCATTCAGACTCTTATTACTTTAATGAAAAAATATGGCGCAACTCGAGCGGATTGGACAAGTTGGGAGATCAATTCTAGTTAAACTCTAAATATATAATCTTTAACTTTAACTTTAACCCTACCTCAATCCAATAACTTCTGAAGTATTCAATCCGAGTACTGCCCGAGTTTAATTCAGTCTTGCTCGGATTGAATTTGGATTACTTAATTCGTACTAATTTTGAGTTAAAATTTGGATTGAGTTTGAATTACTTAATTCAGGTTGATTTTTTAAAATTTAAATTTAATTTTTTAAAATATAAATTTGATTTTTTTAAGTGATATGAGATGACAGACAAGACGCAGATGAAAAGAAAAGGAGTAAGAAAGGGATAAGTGACCATTGAGAGTGAAATTTGGGAGTGATGGAGGTGTAGACGTGAAGTGAACTGAAAATTTGGACTTTAAACAGTAAAGATAAATATTAATTCTAATTAAATATATTTATCTATATTTGGGTTCAATTCGATTTTCATATTTGGGTTGAACCCGACAACCCAAAATCTCAACTTGAGACTTGCCCAAATTTAATTAAAGTTAGGGTTTTTTTTCTCCAATTGAACCTAAATATTAAAATTTAAACCCAAGTCTTTTTTTTTGGGGGGTTAAATTCGAGTTCTTCTTTCCAAAATACACCCGTGACAATAGGATACTTAAGTCATTTCAGTTGTTGACGGGAGATTTACTTGTATCGATTAAATTAGGAAAGGCATTGATTGGTACTAACTTTGAAATCTTCGAACCCTTCGTAGGGTTTTCCCTCGTCCTCCTCCCCTCCCACCCTCTCTCTCTCTTTCTCTCTCTCTCTCTCTCTGTGTGTGCAAAGATTCGAGTCTGGAATTTCTTCAATTCAACGGTCAAAGTTATCGGAACCATGTACGCGTCGAGGGGGTAAGTCGAGAAAACTCAGTTCTCTCTCTGTGCTTTTCAATTTTTTTTTGCGGAAAATTTGTATGTGCTGAATCTGTATTCTGAGTTTCGTTACTACATATTTACTTCTTGATGTATGAATGTCGATCGTGTTATTCTTTCACATATGTATGCTGAGAGTTTAGAGTTTTTGGCTTGATGCTGTTTGTTTCTTTGTTTATTTGGTATTGTTCTCGTAATTCTGCGGATCGATTATATGTGAAATAGATGAAGATATTGGAGATTTACGAAGGTGTAATTTGGATCTATGCCTATTTGTGGATTTGGTACGGATTAAAGGCAGATTAATTATTTACAATTTCAACTTATAGGGATTACAAATTTGTTCGGATTTTCTTCAAAAGGTTTCCGAGACTGGGTCAAGAAATTTCTTTGTTTACTTGCTTTATTGTGTGGCTTGTCTTTCTTGTAAAAGGTGTCTCTAATCTTTCCATTCTTGTTGGTATTCTTTTTTTTTTTTTTTTTTGGGGGTGTTTGGAAGGGGGGAAGTTAATAGGTTTTATATTTATTGAAGCACTTAACATACGTAGAGCAAAATAATTTTTATGGAGCTGTATTTACCACTTTTGTTAGGCAAGAATTCAGGGACAAACCATTATAATAGTTGTAATAGTCCTGCACGTGTTTGTTTTGAGTACCCATAAGTAGGAGGCCTGAGTAGTTTTGTTACTCTAGAAGTAATTACGTTGATGCTACAGAAATTGTGATTTGATCAATTGATTAAATTGTAAAAATTTTATTGATATTGAAAGCAATTCAATTAAGATTTATTTGAGCTTCACGTGGCTACCTTGTTGATTTCTTTATGTCAATGTGTTGGTCTTTTTATTTTTATTTTTTTCTAACAGCGTTAGTTCACATCATTTGTTGTGGGTTTAAAAACTAAAAAACCCAATAGTTTGGCTGGAAACTTGTGGCTTGAAGTTTAGAGGATAGAACTGTGAATTGCCTGAGACTTCTATAAGATACCTGTGTACGATGAAGTTGGGAACAACATAAAATGTTTATTTATTGGTCATAGTATTGCCTTTATATATATATTGTACTGTAGGGAAAGCAATTTCTTTTCAACCATTATTGAAAATTTGTTGAGAATTGAAATGTCCATGGTTATAGTTCTGCACTGCTATATAAATGTGATCTTTTCTGCTGAATATGTTTTGGTTAATCATGATAGACGATGCCTATATTTTAATGCTTTATTACTTGCTTGCATTTACCCTAGTTACCCTGTGGTTTGTGACATTACCTGGCTCATTAATGTCACTTGGGTTCCACATTGGTTGTCAAGGGTGGGTGTCCTATCAATAGACATGTTATTGATATCTTATGGGGCCAAATGATAATTTTTCTTCAACTTGAGGATGATGTGATTTTATTTTATTTTTGTAGTTTAGCCTAGGGGCCTCTTATTGATTGGTCCTACCTGATGGTATCTGTGGGTTTTTGGTTTAGTCATTACTGCCCTTTCCGTTTCTTCATCATATGATTTTCATATACATTTCTTTACTGGCACATAATATATATGCATATATTGTGTTTGTATAGACGTGGGTTGGTAATATATGAGAAAATGTTTTGAGGAATGAGTTTAGGAATAAGAAAACTAGGTGTCAAAAACATGGGTTGGGCTGTTTTTATTAACAAGGTTGAGTGGGGGATTTTCTTTTGCTTTTGGGTATGAATTATTGAAGGGCAATGTTTGGGAGCGGGGGGGTTTCGGACGGGTACGAGATCGGCTCAAAGAGACCAAGAATGATGGAATCGAATCCCTACTTCGCAGTGAGCAGCGGTTCAACTGGTTATCAATCCCATGGCTATGGCAGCAGATTTGTTTCCTCTGCATTTCCTGTGGTTCGTCTCAGGGGGCTTCCTTTCAACTGCACAGACATTGACATTTTCAAGTTCTTCACTGGGCTGGATATTGTGGATGTGTTGCTGGCAAACAAGAATGGGCGATTCTCGGGGGAGGCTTTTGTCGTCTTTGCAGGACCCATGCAGGCTGAGATTGCTCTACAGAGAGATCGCCAGAACATGGGGCGGAGGTATGTGGAAGTTTTCAGGTGCAAAAAGCAGGATTATTACCATGCTGTAGCTGGGGAGGTGAATTATGAAGGAATTTATGACAATGACTTCCAAGGGAGTCCCCCTCCATCTCGATCCAAGAAGTTTCATGATAAGGATCAAATGGAGTACACTGAGATACTGAAGTTGCGTGGTCTCCCTTACTCTGCCACAAAATCTGCTATTGTAAAATTTTTTGGGGACTTCAAGTTGGCAGATGATAAGATACACATTGCATGTCGCCCAGATGGAAAAGCTACTGGAGAGGCATATGTTGAGTTTGCTTCGGCTGAGGAGGCGAAGAAAGCAATGTGCAAAGACAAGAAGATGATTGGGTCGCGATATGTGGAGCTATTTCCTTCAACACCCGATGAAGCCAGACGGGCCGAGTCAAGATCACGGCAGTGATGAGGCATAGTGGCTATAATTATGAGTGCTTGACTTGTGATTCTGCCGGCTTATATCAGTTCCTCCTTTTCAAAACTCTTGTGAATTTTCTGTTGTGTTACCAAAATTTCACTTACTATCTAAATTTGATTTTGAGATTTAGGATATTTTGTTCCCATGGGAAAACATTTGACAGGCGCAGCTGAAAATTGAAAAATATTCGATAGTGCCAGTTCAACCTTCATGGATTGGTTGGTCAATTTACTGATTGAAGGTATTGAACAAACTCTCTCAGGAATAGCACGGGTGGGGTGGTCTAGTGGGGTATTGATCGAACTTCTCATTTGAGGTTAGAGGTTCGTGTCTTGGAGTTCACATTGGGGTTTGGTGTTTGGTCGTTATGTTAGTCTGACTAGGTTTGTTCCTGAGAGTAGTAACGGGTGTGGTCAGGGGTTTTATGATCCGACCAATGAGGGCTTATTGGATAGTTTTTAAACGTTTTCTTTTGTCTTCACTCACTCGTTTTTTGCATATAAAAAAAAAAAAAAATAAATAACTCTATGTGGAACACTTTATTTGTATGCTGCGTGTATGAAGCCTTAATATTGATAAGAGGCAGACAAAAAAATATGCTACCATGGTTAAGGATTCTGTGCAATAAGTCTCAATGCCCAAGGGAAAATTTCCTAGCAATAAGCAGAAAAAAAAACAAAAAAAAAGTACAGATAAACAAAGGCAGCGAATCCTTATTGGGGAAAAAATTGACCATAATAATGTTTATATTGATATTTCAAAATGTTTTCCAGTTAGTTTGAAAATATTTTAGTATATTTTAACTAAAATTTTTAAAAAAATTTTCAAATAAATTCTCAAAATTATTATAGATTTTTATTTTGGTTTAAGAAATATTTTCGTATTTTAAACAAGACAAGAATTCTTTTCTTACTCATTTATATGTTTTCGTTTTGATTGTTTTTCGAAACAATGGAATTGTGTTCTTTACTCTGTGAGCGGACCCTTTTATAAACCCTGAGGTGGTTTGGTTCACCGTGGGAGGATTGGTTTGGAATTCGAACTCAATCCAATTCAATGCAAAGTGGTGGGAGGATTGGATTGGAATCCGAATTCAATCTAATTCAATGCAAAGTGATTTGGATTGGAGGATTATAAAGATGAGATTCAAATTCTATCCCATCTTTAGATATGATTCATTTGTTATGTGGGCCCTATTAACATGTGAAAATAAAATATGTTAAAATGATCATTTCACCCTTGTGTAAACAATGTGATCCAATCATATACCATGTTTAAAATGGAATGAAAAAAAAAGTTCAATCCATTAATATTGTTTTTTTTGCAACAAAAAATATGAATCAATAAATTACGCATTTTTACAAAATATACCCATAAATATTTTATTTATTTATTTAATTAAATTTGTACAATACACTTTTAATCACAAAAATCATATGCATCATGAAAAAAAAAAATTCCAACACAAAAAAAATACACATATCAATACCACTCAAGCCTAAGTCGTTATTTGTTTATTTAGAGACAAGCCCGAGTTGTGTGTTTAAAAATAAAACTTAATTATTTTTTTTTCAATAAATAGCAAAATTAATCTGAACCATATTAAATTTTTTCAATGATCCAAATGCAATTTATTTTCCATGAATTTTAGGATATTTTAATATTATTGCCTAAATTAATACCACAAATTAGGTCAATTTAAAATAGGAAGAATTTCAATGACATCCCCTCTAGTTTACCATATCTTCAAGGACACCCTATTTAGTTTCTGAATCTTCAATGACACTCATTCTAGTTTAATTTAAACATCACTAACATTAAACTATTATTTCTAAAAAAATAAATTTACCTAAAATACCAAAAATGCCCCTACATAACCTCAAGTAAATTTTTTACATAAAATTTTATTAAAATTTGAGCTTTTAAAATTTTTAAAAAAATCATAAATAACAATTTTAGTAAATAATTTGTTAGTAAATACTAATTTTTTATTTACTAATTAGTAAACTTTTTTAAAAAAAATTGAGCCTATTAATTTTTTTTTTTACATATTAAAATTTGAGCCGATTTGAACTTCATCCGAGTTGTTAGGGCAGATTAAAATTCTCTTTTGAGTCGATTATAATTTATATTTTTTTCTTATTAAAATTTGTGTCAATTAAAATTAGATTTATTACAATTTAAGTCAATTAAATTTCATATATTTTTATATATTAAAATTTAGGCTGAATAAAATTTAATGCGAATTAATTAAAATTTGATTTGAGTTGATTAAAAATAATTTTTAATTGGCTCAAACAAAATTTTAATTAGCCCAAATTCTAATATGTAAAAATAATATAATTTTTAATTGGCACAAATTTTAATATATGTAAAAAAATAAATTTTAATTAACTTGAATCGAATTTTAATCGATTTGAATTTAATTACGTAAAAAAAATTAGAAAACAGAGGGGGTCTCATTGAAGATATGTTTATCTAGAGAGGGTGTGGATGAAATTTGTCCTCAAATATATCATAGGCAATTTAGTAAAATTATATTTTACTTAATATTTTTAATTTGACAAGAGTTGTCATTGAAGATTCAAAAACTAGAGGAGGTGTCCTTGAAGATAAGGTAAACTACAGGGGGAGTGGTTAAAATTTTCCCTTTAAAATATGTTCCTTAATTAAAATGTTAATATTTTTTAGAGTTTATCTCTAAGAAACAAAATTTTAGATGTAATGAGACCCAACACTACTGAACAAATATGATTTTTAATGAGATTCAAACCCTTTCATTTAAACTTGACTTAGACCGAATATTTTCGCATGTTTACTCTCAAAATTTATGTAATTAAATACCGAATGTCAGAAATTAAGTCATATCTATTTAGAAAAAAAATTATAATGTAGTATATAATATAGAGTATAATCAATTTTTTAATAATTTTTTTTTCTATTTTGTTTAAGTACACAAGATCAAAAAATTGGAAATTTTTTTAATTTATTTTAAACACATGCCAAATTTTATTTTTTTGTTGTTTCAGTAATAAAAAAATAAAAAAACATTCAACAAGAGAGATAGATAGATGGAAGTCAAATGTTGAGGGCAATAATGTAAAATGACATGTTATTTCATCTGTGGCTTTCCGAGTAAATGAATCCCACATGCTAGGTGGGTTTCTTTTATCCGGTTCAGAGAGGATTAGTTCGTGAATTCCTACGATCGAGTAATTCAATCCCTAACGTTTATCCCATTACATTTTTTGGTTCCAAAGCTGAAATATATAGTCCCATATTTGAATCCAATCTAACATATCCTATCTACCTTTATCCTTTCAAACAAACGTCACCCGAATCCATAACGGTTAAAACATAAACAACACCCGTAAGTTTAAAACAGTTGGAATCAATTAGTCCGACCGCTCCCCCGCCGCAATGGCCGAGACGACGTCGTATCTACCAATCGAACCCACCAACTTCGACCTCATCGTTGTCGGCACCGGCTTACCATCATCCATAATCGCGGCCGCTGCCTCCGCCGCTGGAAAATCCGTAATCCACCTTGACTCCAACCCCTTCTACGGCTCCCACTTCTCCTCTCTCCCCCTCGACGACCTCACCTCCTTCCTCCATTCCCAGTCCCAATCATTGGATCCGAATCTTCATATACCGCCACCCCAATCCAACGATACTGATGAATTTATCGCTGTTTCTCTCACCACCCAACGTATGTACTCCGAAGTCGAGATCTCCTCTTATTCCACCGAACCCCTCGAACAATCTCGAAAGTTCAGCATCGATTTGGCAGGACCTAGGGTTTTCTTCTGTGCTGATTCCGTCGTTGACCTCATGCTGAGGTTGGGGGTGAATCAGTACATGGAGTTTCAGAGTATTGAGGGGAGTTTTGTCTGTGATGGTGACGGAAAGCTTTGGAATGTGCCGGATTCGCGAAAAGCCATATTCAAAGATAGGAGTCTAGGGCTTACCGAGAAGAATCAGCTGATGAGATTCTTTAAGCTGGTTCAGGAACATTTGCAAGCTGTTGGTTCTGTTGATGGCGAGAGCGGTGAAAATAAGAGGATTTCGGAGGAGGATTTGGAGAGTCCGTTCGTGGTTTTCTTGGAGAAAATGGGGTTTTCACCGAAGTTGAAATCGTACACTTCGAATCGCCCTTTCCTCTCTGTTAGTGAGAGTTATTTGTTTGTTTCAATCTCTTATAACTCTTAGGAGTTTATGTTTATTACTATCATTATTTATTGATTAGAAATATTTTCACTTCTCCTTAAGTTGTTATGTTTCTGATTTTTTTTTATGCCATTTGACAACTTGAAGGAAATGATTTAATATCCTTGAGTGGGGGAGTTTTATTTAGAAAACTGAAGAATCAGTATATTTGGTCGAAATTCTCAAGTTATGGGCATCTTTGTTATAAGCTGTTTTTTTTTTTTTCATTTGAACTGGTTTGTAAGCTGTTGATTGCCTGAAAATGCTGCATTTTGGGTTTTAGTGGACTGGGGAAGAGAAAGTATAGTAGGTTAACCATTTAGAGGATCATTTTTGTTTTCACTATAGAAAGGAAAATTTTCCCTCCATTTAGTTATCTGTAGCAATATGGGAAGGAGAGAATTTTCAGGAAAGGTAGTGGTTTGTTACTATAAGACCATTTTCCCTTGCCTCCCTTTTTCTTTCCAGATTACCAAATGGAACCTAAAAATTTACTGTTGCTTTTGTTATGTTTGTTTCTTTTTATTAGTCTGCCTATTTAATATTAATTTCTCTGGGGGTGAAGACCTTACGTGCTCACATGAAACAATTAAAACCCACAATCCAGTTAGGCTAATTGTATTGTGTTCAACATATACTTGCTTCATACTGACACATATTCTGTGTTGTGGCTATTTATGAACAAACAGCTTTCTATATTTTGTTACATCTCTTGGCTCTTGTTTCTGTTTGAAATATTTCTTCTTTAGGCTTCTCTTTCTCCTTTGTCTGTTTGTGCGTTTCTGTAGAGATTGTAAAAGCTGCCGTAGTTATTCTCTGTACATTCCTGATCGTATATCTATGTGATGGCTTACTGTTAGTGAAGGCCGCTTTTTTTTCCTGATGAAGTTGATACCTTGTCCGTATATTTGTGCTTGTTCAATTGCCTATTTGGAGGACTTTAATTGCAAATGATGCTACAATGTTTCTCATAGATAGGCTTTTTCTTTTTTCATGTGATTGTTTGCCTTAGTTCCTCTTACATTGTGCTTTACAAACTGATGAGTAACTTGCATTAATTTTTCTGCTTGCAGGATTATTCTATATGCAATAGCCATGACAGATTATGATCAAGAGAATGTGAAAGTCTGTAAAGATGCTGTCAAGACAAAGGAGGGAATTAGTCGTTTAGCACTTTACCACTCCTCAGTTGGCAGGTATTTGTTGTTTTTGTTTCATACTACAACGGTTATCCAGTCATTATTATAGTTCCATTTTGTTGAAGTTTAGTCAACTGCAATTACTATTTTATGTAGAAGACAATTGTGACCAGCCAAGGAAAGAAACAAAACATAAGGGCAAAAACACAAACAGTTGTTTTTATCTGGAAAACTGAAAACTTATGCATTAGTGTTTTTTGAGTTCTTCTGTTTGATTTCTAATTATGATCTTAACCCTTCTAAACCCTCCTCCTTACGTCGCCACGTTTATTCTCTAACACGGAAGGGGTGGGATATCTTTATTTTTTGAATAATATCGGCATAAGTTCTATATTTTTGAAAAAGCACCCTATGAGTAAGCATTAATGAGAGATGGGAGTGTATAGATAGATGGTTGTGTTTCAGCCTTACAAATGACAGAAGGTGCATGGACATGTCCAAAAGATTTGTTAAAAATGAGTTATGAGTATGACTGATCTTAGTCTCTGCAAATGCAGCCTAACTTCTGGTTCATCTTTTTCAATACATTCCCCAAATAAAGTACTCTTGAAGAAAGACAGTCAGACTTGTGGAACCGTCTACTTGTTTCATATTAATAAAGAAAAAAAAAAACCATTGGATCTTTTCTTAATTGATAGAATAGAATGCAGGCAACAATTTGTCTGTGCAATGGTTATTTTGTACTTGACAATTGATATGCCATTTGAGTAGTGATTCAATGCACAGAATGTACTGAGCTTAATGCGATGTGCATTTCATCTTGCAGAGTTCAAACCAGCAATGCTTTAGTAAATGACTATGAACTGGAGCACTTATCACAAGACAGAATAAAAATTAAAACTGCAGCAAAATGATCGATTTCATTCAACCTTTGTTTTGCTCGTGTTGATCAATATGCACAGATTTCCCTTGTATAGGTGCAACATAATATGCTTGATTTCATATAAGGTTTCTGTTAGATACCATACAAGTTGACAAGTTTAAACATCTCTTGGCAGAAAAAACTGAATACTGGCTTTTATGCTATGAAGTCTTATGGTTGTAATTGTGGTTATCACATGTGCCATATGTGTTCCACGACCGGTCATTTCTTATGTTTTTTCGTCTTTTTCAGGTTCCCTAACGCACTAGGGGCTTTGATTTACCCTTTGCATGGTCAAGGGGAACTCCCACAAGCGTTTTGCCGCCGTGCTGCTGTCAAAGGCTCTCTGTATGTAAGTTTCACTGAGCATAATTGAAAACTACTTCTCTATGGGTAGCTATGATTGTCACCTATACTTAGACCTTTGTGAATTGTGAATCAAGAATGGCTTGGATGCACTCTACCAAACCAAAGAAAGCCTTGTCTCGATTATCTTGGGTCAGGCTAGATGACCTAGCTTGCTCCCTGGGGAGTAGGGAAACCTTGGTTTGTAAATGGACTTTAGAAAGTTTTTAAGCATGGTACATAAACATCTACTCTGGACAATAGGTTTATGGGGCCATGATAATCCTTATTTTAGGGGCCTTGGATATGATTGCCACTCCTCTTGCTTGGATAAATTAAATGTATCAAAAAGTGTCCACATAATATGAATTTGTTGTGAAAATATTCTGCTGTAGCTTTGCCAATCTATAATACTAATCTACATTTACAACAACTATTATACAGGTTCTGCGAATGGCTGTGATTGCTCTGCATATAGACAAGGTTTGGAAATATGTCTCTTATTTGATAACTTTCGGGAGCATTAAGGATGCACATACTATGTCTGCTTAAGAGGTTTACATGGGCCTCACTCATGCCATTTTTTTCAAAAGCATTTAGTAATCTTGGATACACAATCTCATTAAAATTCGCAGGCTAGTAGGAGTTGTAAAGGGGTTAAGTTAGCTTCTGGTCAGGAGCTATTCAGCCATCAGGTGATCCTAGATCCATCATTTACAGTTCCATCTCCAGTTCCTAATTCTCCCTCAGGTTTTCTGCAAGATAGTTCTCAGATCTTTGGCCTGAGGGATGTTAAAGGAAAGGTGGCTAGGGGAATATGCATTACAAAGACTTCCTTAAAGGCAGATGTAATAAATCTTCTGGCGTTATATCCTCCTAAATGTGAGATCAATGTCCCAGTCTATACTCATTCTTTGTTGAAGGGTTATGGAGTTTATCTATTGACTGTTCTTTCTCTCTAGCTCTGTATCCTGAACAGGTGACATCAGTTCGAGTTCTCCAGCTAGGAAGCAATTTAGCTGTTTGTCCTCCTGGCATGTAAGTTAATTGTTTAATTGTTTGTTTCTTTCCTCCCCTTCCCCCCCCCCCCCCCC